TTATTCAACCCCGAAAAAAATATTTAGTTCCGAATAATAGTTTGGATTTATGAATTTATTTTTGATTCACATATGAAATTATCTTGTCATTTTATAAAATAATATTCTCTAATTTAAATTTGATTTTTTAAAACCGGATTGGACAGGACGTTCTAATACTTTTTTTTTACCTAGGAACAACAAAAATTTTTATCCTAGGAACCAATACAAGAAAATAGAGTACATGTCTCAGAGTTGATATATGAATAGATATCCATTTAAGGGGGTTTCGCGCCTTATTTTCTAGTAATAACTTTTAACTAGTTCTGTTCAAGTCGCCATTTCAACCATAAGCAGAAGCTATAAATTTTTTCTGCTTTTTCTGTGTTGGTAGATTTTCACAAATCCTAATAGTCAACATTTTTTCCGGCAATAATGTTCGACCAGGCTATGAAACCTTCCTTGTGGTCATTTGAGTTTTACTAACGTTTATTGCAAATACAAACAAACAAACAAACACACAAACACGCATGAAATAATACTATATATTATATATATATAAATAGTGGATAAAGGTTTCTAGTAATCTTGTAAACCCGGCCTGAATACTAAACCTATCTGTTAACAAGGAACACGTACTCTTCAAAACTTTTCTTTAGAATAAATCAAATTATGGACATGGACATACTTTTTTACTTAGTACACACTTTCAGAGCAAACAAGTAAAATGTATAATTGATTGCAGGAAAGGGTCGCGAAGCGCTATAAAAGCATAGTTTGACTAGAATTGTTGCGATCATGTTATGGCACAAAATTGTTACAATTCTAGATTGGCATTGCTGCTTTAAGTGTTATTATCATTTATAACTTTAATTTTAATATTTTAAAATAAAATTATTATTTTTAATTTCAAGCTAGAGCAGGATCAGAATAACTTTGATATTCTTTCATATAAAACCTTTGCAATATAAAAAGTTGTTTAATGTATACATAAACTCTAATGATTTCGACGTTTCAAGAACGGTTTTCTTTTTGACATATTATAAAGAACGTTTTTTTGGCTTCAATTACTAGTTACCAAAAAACATGCGATTTATAAGTTTTTGAAGAAAAAAATCAAATTCTTTTACAAATTTTACTACAGAAAAATTCCAAATGCGTCCTAAAAGAATCTAAACATTTTTAAATCAAAAAAGTGTCAAATGGTCCTGCACTCTGAATTAAATGCCACAATCAAAAACAATTCTTAAAGATTTCACATTCTTGTAGAATTCAACCATATTTTATATTTTGTGGAAAGTTAAATAGCTTTAACCCTTTAGAATCTATTTTATTGGTGTATTCAAATTTAATGCATTCAAAGTATACATTGTAAACTTAGAACCTTAGAACAGGATTTCAAATTGCTGAAAAAAGAATAATTTGTGACTGACATCTGTGTCTGCGTGATCCGTCCAAAAAAGTTGAAACGGAGCGCAACAACAAACAAATATGCAGTACGCTCTCGGTATAGCTTATTGCCTATAAAATTAGTAAAGGATTAGCGTACATCATCACTCTATACACTATTAACTCGTTGCGCAACACTAAGTCCGGTACAAAAGGTAGGTCCGGTTCAAACTCAATGACCCTATTCCACCGTGGAATGTAATCCACTTCCTGTGGGACTACTTTAATGACCTAATGGGCAAATTAAATTTTAATGTACATGTGTTTTTGTGCCACAATTAACACTGAAAATTCTGATTCATTTGAAGTGCCGGAGTAAATATAATGAACTAGTTTACTAGTATATGTGAGTATGTAATGTACTAGTGATACTAGTCTATGAGTATTTAATGTACTAGTATATAAGTATTTAATGTACTAGTGTATGAGTATTTAATGTACAAGTTTACAAGTATATGGGTGTATAATGTACTGGTCTACTTATAGTATATGAGTATTTAATGTACTTGTGTACTAGTATATGAGTATATAATGTAGTATTGTACTAGTATATGCGTATATAATGTAGTATTGTACTAGTATATGAGTATATAATGTAGTAGTGTACTAGTATATGAGTATATAATGTACTAGTGTACTAGTATATGAGTATATAATGTAGTAGTGTACTAGTATATGAGTATATAATGTACTAGTGTACTAGTATATGAGTATATAATGTACTAGTGTACTAGTATATGAGTATATATTGAACTAGTGTACTAGTATATGAGTATATAATGTACTAGTGTACTAGTATATGAGTATATAATGTACTAGTGTACTAGTATATGAGTATATAATGTACTAGTGTACTAGTATATGAGTATATAATGTACTAGTGTACTAGTATATGAGTATGTAATGTATGTCTGTATAACGGAATACCGTGTTCAATTATCTAAAGACTGATCACTATACTCTACTATACACTCCACTCAGTGGAACATAAAAGAATTGAGTCTCATCAATAGATTTGTTTCACCACACACCTCTCAATCCTCTCAAGGGAGTTCTAATACACATATAAATTATACATTTGCTCAGAGATATGTCTTACAGATATTTCTTTAGATTTAGAATATTTTTGTGTTCGACAAATTAAAAATTAAAAGTGACCGTAAACAGATGGATTTAAAGAGTATTTGTTTTATTCTACCGTTGACGCGAACCTAGATAACAGATAACCAATAACAAATGAGACCAAGGACCTCCTGGCCCTTTGATTTTGATTTTTAAGAATATACTTTAAAAGAAAAGAAATTTATAAATATAGAAATCCAACATTTGATAACTCATGTTCCCCCTCCCACCACCAGGTTGTCATGGTTTGGACATAAAAATTACCAAATTTCCAGTACACATTTCCGGGAGAAGGACATTTTTGTTTGCCATTGAAGGGTGGTACAAAATTTGCCGCGTTTTGCGCGCAATAATTTGATTATTTCCCGTCTCCTTCATAATATCAACGGAAAACACCTATACTGATTTATCTAGAATAGGTGTCTCGAAAAATTAGTAAACTTAAATGTTGCATGAAGGGGATGAAAATTACAACCTGACTGATAAGATAGGATTGACAGTAGAAAAGGTTCAATGCTTTGATCGCTTGTTTAAAAAATGTTCATCAAGAGTTAATTAAATTCTAGACAAAAATGTTTTTTTTACAAAAATAGAAAAATAAGATGAAAAACAAATTGTTGAGATGACATTTTCTTGAAGACAAACACTGGAAATTTAATGAAAAAAAGAGAAAATAAATTTAACAGAAGAGGTAAAAAATAATTCAATATTTCAATTTTTTCTTATCATAAGTACACGTAGCCTAAAGGGAATGTGAGCGTAACTTCAAGTGGTTCTTCATGCAAACCTTTAACACCTGTTTCTGGTAAATAATGTGATAGATATTGTCGTTTTTATAGGTTCAAAAACGACAACTCCTGCATGATTATTTCTATATTTTTTCCTGCAGTAGAAATGCGCAAGTCACTTCAGAAGAGAAACCACAATTGAAAACAATTATATTCATATTTTAATAGCTTGTATGGTTACTGTTATGAATTTGGTATTGCCAACTTTTCATGTCGAGAGTGACTTGAAATTACGCTCACAGTACCTTTATACAATCAAATACATGATATTCGTTAACCTTTAACGGTTTTTAAACCTTATTTTATCTAAACTATTTTATAAATAACAAAAAATGAAATCAAAATATAATGTATTTCCTCTCACGTGGATAAATTTTAATTTAGTTCTGTAATTGAAAATACATCAATCGAATTGAAGTGGGCCGGCTTAAATGTTCAGAACATTCATTTCAGTAAATAAATGTAATAAGGGTAATAGTGAATTTTTTGCAGAGGCGCAGCTAGCCCTTTTGTGAAGGAGGGGGGGGATTTTATTTTCGAATTTTCCAATCATTGCAGGTTTGCCTGTGTGTTAAATATATACCAATTTATTTTTATATCCTATGGCTTGTTCTTGTGTTAATAAAAAGTTATATACTTCCAACAGATGTAAAATGAACGACATTAGTCTTATTTTGGGCTGGGCCATTCTGACTTTTTTCTAGCCGTTCGTTATTTGTTAGTTAAAACCGTTAAAAGTGTTTTTCAGGCAGTCGTTCGCGTTTTAGCTAAAAACGGCAAATATTTTAGAAATCGTAACGGTACCAGCCGTTAACGAGCCGTTGGCGATTATTTTATGTAAAAGTAGCGAAACAATTCACAGAAAACATTGAAAAACATTTAAAAAATGCAAAAACAAAACATTATAACTGCATAACATTATAAATTTCAACAAATAAGCGAGGGAAAAAGGGCGTTTAAACCCTTCAAAATGGATTAAAGAAACCTTTTTTCATGCAATTTTAAGCAGAAATAAGAACGAAAGTTGCCGTTAATTTACACATTTACACATTCATTTCGTTTTTTTTTCAACCGTTAATCCAAAGCAGGTTTTTGTTCCATTAATTGTTGGTCTATATAGTCCTTTAAGCAGTAATAGTTCCTGGAAGTATTTGTTGACTAACTTTCGTCTGTCTAAAATCCATATAGTCTGTAGTCCCTCCCCTCTTGTTTACCGGTAATCCTAGTTTTTTCCATAGATAAAGATAGATTACGCATAAGACGACATTTTTCATCTTGAAAGATATAAATGTACAGAGATATTTTAAAGATATTCCTATTATATAGATTAACTAGGTCGGTTGTGAACATTGGCTGTTCTTATGTTATTGAGTACATGTGGTGTACATGAGTTCTGTATAGAGAAATTTAAGTTAGTATCTCATGTCCTTCTTAAGTTCTCGTCAATATGATATATTTCTCAGTGAAATATCACTGTTCAAATAGTTACCTTCCCGTAGTTATTTTACACTCTATTCTATGAAATCCATTAAAACACCAAACCACCCCGCTTATTATTGATATACACTTTGACCCCTAGAAGTATGAGTTTGCGGACTGTACAATTCTTGGTGATTTTGCTTACATAAGCTATCTATGTTTGTTTATTTATCTATGGTTTTTTCTTGATGTTCCTTTTATTAAAATGGCTAACTTCCTTCGAGTTGAAAAAGAAAAAATATTAGGAAATTCTATTAGCATCAGAAATCAGGTTTGTGNTAGTTGCACCACTAGTTATTTTATAAAATGGATTCATAAATAAAATATAGGTTATCAACAAAGAATAAGACTGTAAAGACAACTGGAAACTCTTAAAATATTTGATACCAAGGTTATAATTAAGTATTCTGCCTTAGATTTAGTAATCCAATGGCTAATTTAATGATTTTGCATAGAAACAAACAGGTTTACAATTGCAGTGAATCAAGAATACAAGGAAACAGGCAGTAAAAATTCCTCAAGTCTCGTCATTTGTGGGTAACCATGTACATTGTACAATCCTTTTATTTATGATTTTGTGTCTTGTTTATAATTCAGTATTAAGAGACCGTAACCAGAAGACGACATTAGAGAACGCCTTTTAGGATTTAAATTAAATGTTGAATGAACAAAATGGACTTCTCAATTATTGTAGAGAACAGGAAAAATCACCTTTGACAGAAGAGATTAAAAAGAAAGTTTTTTAATGAAATCAGACTGAAAACCAACCCAAGTTTATATATAGCTTAAATAAAATATATATATCACATTGAGCTTCGCATTAAACGATATTGCCATCGAAACCAAACGTGAGAGTAGGGTGAGGTTTGTACGTACATGTATCAAGACTTTCAAGCAGCATGCATTTTTTGCATAACTCACGCCATGGGTCCAATACACACTGGGTACGGATCATGCAACGGTTGGACCCGTGTGAATTTGTTTTACTATCTGTCTGCCTTTGTAGGATTATAAATAAGAAAAAAAGGAAAAATTACTTTTTATTGAGTATATGACATTGATTTAATTTAAATCAATTTGTAAAATAAAGGATATGATAAACCTGGGGCCGGCAGTATATATATATATTTATTGTAGGGCTTCTTCTGTAATTAGGGATACTAAAAAATATTTCAATATTTCTAATCATAACATTATTAGGATGTTAGATAAAACATAAACATGTAAAAATATACGTGTATTTTTGTTTTATGAGATTTAAAAATTAAAATTTTTGATATACACCCAACATCAGAACATTTGGAGTCACAGTGTTTCATTGGCTTCATTTGCCAATAGTCTGCAGTTTAAATTCATATGTTACATTCTGCATCATTTTATTTTTACTAGAAGGGGATCATTGACTTGGCGTATCGTCCTGGTTTACTCTTACATTATAGTCTGTATATGTACTGTTAAGCTTTCTATAGCAGGTGAAAAGTCGGCCCGGTACTTGAACTGAACCAGAGTTTACAGTGACATATTGTCCTGTCGACCCGGTACTTGAACTGAACCGGAGTATACAGTGACATATAGTCCTGTCGGCCCGGTACTTGAACTGAACCGAGTTTACAGTGACATATAGTCCTGTCGGCCTGGTACTTGAACTGAACCGGAGTTTACAGTGACATATTGTCCTGTCGGCCCGGTACTTGAACTGAACCGGAGTTTACAGTGACATATAGTCCTGTCGGCCCGGTACTTGAACTGAACCGGAGTTTACAGTGACATATTGTCCTGTCGACCCGGTACTTGAACTGAACCGGAGTTTACAGCGGCATATTGTCCTGATGAATATACAGTTATGGAAAATTTTCCTATTTAAAATTTGAGATTAAAAAATTAAATTACAAAAAAATACATTTTTTTTATTTGCAATCCTTTTAATTCCAGGCAACTGTGTGAGGTTTTTTTCTATTTTCACACATATATATAGAATTGACAATTATGACGAAAAGAAAACTAAAAATAATCAAAAATTATTATTTTTTAGATAATATTTATAAGTAATAAAATGGACACTGCAGCAATCAATAATATGGACAAGGCAAGTAAAAATATATCTTAAATAAAGTAACAAACCATTGAAATCCTTTTTTTGTTAGGAGTACTAAAACATATATTTCAAATTTTTTCCTTTTTCTTGTTTTAAAAAAATCAGGAATTTTTTGATCACAAAATTTTATCTTTTAAAAAATGATGCAGAAAAAGCGTTCTTAAATATTTTAACAACACTAGTGTTTATGATATGTTGAGACTAATGTTTATGCTATGTTGAAACTAATGTTTATGCTATGTTGAAACTAATGTTTATGATGCGTTAAACTAATGTTTATGATATGTTAAACTAATGTTCATGATATGTTGAAACCAATCTTTAGGATATGTTGTACTAATGTTTAGGATATGTTGAAACTATTGTTTAGGATATGTTGAAACTAATGTTTAGGATATATTGTATAGTAATGTTTAGGATATGTTGTACTAATGTTTAGGATATGTTGAAACTAATGTTTAGGATATGTTGAAACTAATGTTTAGGATATATTGTATAGTAATGTTTAGGAAATATTGAAACTTATAGTGTTTAGGGTATGCTGAAACTAATGTTAATGATATATATTGAAACTAATGTTTATGATATGTTGAAACTAATGTTTAGGATATGTTGAAACTAATGTTAGGATATGTTGAAACTAATGTTTATGATATATATTGAAACTAATGTTTATGATATGTTGAAACTAATGTTTATGATATGTTGAAACTAACGTTTATGATATGTTGAATCTAATGTTTAGGATATGTTGAAACTGCAAGTTCAGTTGTTGAAACCTCAGATAGCCCTGGAACGAACAATGCTCAGTGAGAATATTAAAGAGTAAGTTACTACAGTTCTAAAGAGAAACAACAGAGAAAAATTTAGTCACAAACACAGATATTAGAAAATTATTAAAAACTACATTAATTGATGATAATATTTAAATACTAGCGCAGCACAGCAACGCAGTTTTACCTGGAAACTAAGTTGTTTCTTCAAAAGTTGACATTCTCTACAACTTTTAAACCTAGCTAATTACATTCCTATGGTTCTACCGAGTTCCCCAGTTAATATTTGAAGCAAATTGGTCAAGTAGTTCATGAGTTCTTTTCAGACATACAAAAAAAACAGAAATCACAACTTTATAAAGATACTATAGCTTGGGAACCCATCGGTCCCCACACGCACCTCTCACCCTTTAGTTAAAGTAAATTCAACCTAAAGTCTGACCAGCGTCAACCTTGTTGCACCGACCAGTCCTATTGAGTGTCTGCTTTATTTACCCAATGTCCGGGTGATACAGTACAAACTGGGACCGGAAAGGTTGACCCGGCTTGGAAATTCAAATGTACTACGGCTGCTCGTGCCCAGGTTACTCCAGTTTTCTTGGGTTATTTTCGAACAAATAGTCAAACAGACAGACAAACAGAGGTTACAACTTTATATTTATTGATATGAATTTAAATAGTCCAATGTAAATGAATCTTAGTGATTGTGGCGGTTACACAGTCTCATTTACCCATTTCTCTTAACAAGTTGATTTTCAAAGTACTTAACGTTTGAATGCTTTAAACCATGGCAATCAAAATTCCAATCAAAATTCGAGATAAATCGGTCAATAAAAAAAGAAGTGGAATTCTTTTTTTGTCTATTTGATTGGATGTACGATCATAAATAATGAACCTTGTAGCCGATTTGCCTCAAATTTGATTGAAAAATTCGGTAGAACCTACGAAATATAGTTATGTTTAAAAATTAAAACTTATGTGGGTCGACTTTTACGGGCAAAGCTGGTTTCACAATAAATGTCTCTAAATCAATGCATGGTTNGGGGTTGGAGGAAGGGGAGGAGGGTAAGATGGAGGCTGAGGAGGCCTAGTAGCACCAGTAGAGGACAGAATACAGGGTTACGTACACCAGAGTACAGTATATTCATACACCACTGTACATATTATTCTTACACATACTGTACAGTTTCTACATACACCACTGTACATTTTATTCTTACACATACTGTACAGTTTCTACATACACCACTGTACATTTTATTCTTACACATACTGTACAGTTTATACATACACCACTGTACAGTTTATTCTTACACATACTTTACAGTATACATCCGCCACTGTACTGTTTATACATAAATCACTGTACAGTTTATACATACACCACTATACATTTTAAACATACACTACTGTACAGTTTATACATACACCAGAGTAGATTTTATACATACACAACTATACAGTTTATACATCCGCCACTGTACTGTTTATACATAAATCACTGTACAGTTTACACATACACCACTATGCAGTTTAAACATACAGTACTGTACAGTTTATACATACACCACTGTACAGTTTATACATACACCAATTGTACAGTTTATACATACACCACTGTAATTCATACTTTTTGCAGTTTACAGCTAATACATACTTAGTGCAGTGTACAGTTAAAATACATTATGTGCAGTGTACAGTTAATACACATTATGTGCAATGTAAAGCTAATACACATTTTGCGCAGTATACAGTTAATACACATTATGTGCAGTGTACAGTTAACATACATTATGTGCAGTGTACAGTTAACATATATTACGTGCAGTGTACAGTTAATACACATTATGTGCAGTGTACAGTTAACATACATTATGTGCAGTGTACAGTTACATTATGTGCAGATTACAGTTAACATACATTATGTGAAGTGTACAGTTAATATACATTATGTGCGGTGTACAGTTAACATACATTATGTGCAGTGTACAGTTACATTATGTGCAGATTACAGTTAACATACATTATGTGAAGTGTTCAGTTAACATACATTATGTGCAGTGTACATTTAACATAAATTATGTGCAGTGTACAGTTAACATACATTATGTGCAGTGTACAGTTAATACAGTTAACATACATTATGTGCAGTGTAGAGTTAATACACATTATGTGCAGTGTACAGTTAACATACATTATGTGCCGTGTACAGTTAATATACATTATGTGCAGTGTAAAGCTGATACACATTTTGTGCAGCATACAGCTAGCTAATACATACTTTCGTTAAGAAATACATACTATCATTTGTACATCCTTGTTGTGTTTACTTTACAGCCCAGAGACAGTACACTGCAGTACAAAAGATACATACACCTCTGAAATAACTATCCTTATATTACAATTCTTTGGTTCAAAGAAAATAATAAACTAACGTTTTAAAAAACCGAACAAAAAAAAACTATCGTTAGCATTTTTTTGATCAGCCGGTTAGGTCAACGAACAATTTTTTTTAACGAACTGCAACTGTCACGTTTTCCGTTTATAGTTTGTACGAATTTGCTGTACGTACAGTCTGTATGTTTTCTGTACGTACAGTTTGTATGTTTTCTGTACGTACAGTTTGTACGTTTGCTGTACGTACAGTCTGTATGTTTTCTGTACGTACAGTTTGTATGTTTTCTGTACGTACAGTTTGTACGTTTGCTGTACGTACAGTCTGTATGTTTTCTGTACGTACAAGCTCGTCCATCTGCCTAAAAATCGGTCCTGTACTTTAAGTGACTTCAATAAAATAGAGGCTTATCATGAATTCCTCGCTTTGTTATCAATCTTTGTTGTTGTTAGTTCCAGTTCTGTCCTAATACGTCAGATTTGAAAATGTAAATATTGTTTTAAATTCCGCGTATTCTTCAGAGAGTACTAAGAATGGATCGAGACAGCTTAAAGCTTCAAATCTCTAATATGCAGTTCCAGGCAAAAATGGAACGATGGCCTTTATCCAAATCCATCGATGTGTAAGTTTTATCAGCTTCATTTTTCTGTTCGGTTTGAGGGACTGTATGTATAATTCCATGTAACCATCATGCAAAAATGGCAAAGGAATTGAGTTTTTGCCACAAACTCAAATCTTCTGATCCCAATATCTGTGCAACCAGATGGTGCGAACCTTTGATATTTCAAACTTAGATTATTTTATCTATAAGTATTAATAGTTTGAAATATCTAAGGTCTACGACATTGAGTTGCAAAGATATAGAGAATGAAACCTTAATCTGATCAAGAATGTGGACGATACCGTCTGTTTTCTGACTCGAATCATGTTTGCAAAGAAACCGCAAATGAAAAAATTAAACAATTTAGAATAAAAACATTAATATCTAATCCATACTTGATCAGACAAAGCTTTTTAAAGTAATGTTATAAATCTGTGCATGGAGGGTCATGTTACAGTTGTTTTAATAAAAAATGATGGTTGCCACAAACTCTGAATTCATAATCCCTATATCTTTGGAACCCAATGTAGTACATCTCAGATATCTCAAACTTATATTATTTGATCAAAATTCATAGTTTGAAATATCTTAGGTTTTACGACATTGGAATTCAAAGATATTGGAATCCAAAGATATTGGAATCCAAAGATATTGGAATCCAAAGATATTGAAATCCAAAGATATTGGAATCCAATGATATTGGTATCCAAAGATATTGGAATCCAAAGACATTGGAATCCAAAGATATTGGTTTAGAAAACCAGAGTTTGTGGTAAAGACTCAATTCCTTTATCAAGTTAGTAAAGCCTATTTGAAAAGACATTTAGAAATCTTATAAAAAAAAACGTTGCCAAGAGGTTGAAACTGCTGAAAAGTTAATCCCTTGTTCTTTCATGGATATTTTGCACTTAATCCCATTACACCCAAGCCAAATATATGAACATGGAAGTTCAATTGTTTCCAAAATATTGAATTATATATATTTTTCCTGTTGGTTTAGTGATTAATCATACAAAAAAATTGTATCGTTTTTGTTAAAATTTTTTATCTCTACGTCAAACATTTTAATATTGTTTTAAAAATGTGTGAAAGAATAAGGAGAAAAAACAACAAATACTTTTTTTAAAATTGAATGGTTTCTAAAATCATTTTAAAAGATTAATATTAATATTAATATTATAATTTGACTTTTGTTTTTGATTGAAGAGTGTTGTGAGATATATTCCAGGGAAATCGCATTATAAAATTTGTTTTATTAAACGAATATTTGATTTTGAATCTCAATATATAAAATTAAAGAAGAGAATTTATGGTATATTCAAATCTTGAAAAACGTGAGGGTAAAAAGAATGCAAGTTGTTAACATGATAGATTCATTTATGAAAATGGAAGTGAACCTTTTCCACTTAAATTTTTAATTCCATATATCTTTGCAACCTAATGGTGTAAACCCTTGATAGTTCAAACTTAGATTTTATAATCTAACAGAATTCATCTGTAATATTAAAGGTTTACACGATGCATTAGGTTGAAAAGTACAGAGATTAGAAAATTTGAGTTTGTAGCAAAAACTCAATTCTTTTACTTAAATTTTAAAAAGATTATTTTCCAAGGAGGTGAAAGTTTCATTTCTGCATTATTTTTCATTTATCTAAAAGGAATTGAGTTATGTCATAAACTCAAAAGTTTTTAATCTCTTTAAACTTTTGATATATCAAATTAAGATTATTTGATTTAACAAAATTCAAAATTTTAAATATCTTAGGTCATGCGACATTCGGTTGCAAATATATGATTAGAATATCAGAGTTTGTAGCAAAGACTCAATAACTTTTTATCACATGCAATTCCTAAAATTTAAGTTCACAACCCCTTAATTGTGATAAGGAATGAGTGTTACGGACAAAATATGTTTTTATTGCACGCTCTTAATATTCAAAATTGGTTTGTTCAACTGTACAGAAAGTACATATGTTATGTTGCGAACAACATGTGATTTTTTTTATGTAAAAATCATTTTAAAAAATGAAGATTTATTTCAATTATATTTAATATTTTGGGAGGAAGATGTATATCAATGATTATGAATATTCTAGGATGAAGATGTATTTCAATGATTATGAATATTCTAGGATGAAGATGTATTTCAATGATTATGAATATTCTAGGATGAAGATGTATATCAATGATTATGAATATTTTAGGATGAATATGTATATCAATAATTATAAATATTTTAGGATGAAGATGTTTATCAATGATTATGAATATTCTAGTATGAAGATATATATCAATGATTGAAATTATTCTAGAAAAAATATGTATATCAATGATTAAGAATATTCTAGGATGAAGATGTATATCAATGATTATAAATATTCTAGGATGAAGATGTATATCAATGATTATGAATATTCTAGGATGAATATGTATATCAATGATTAAGAATATTCTAGGATGAAGATGTATATCAATGATTATAAATATTCTAGGATGAAGATGTATATCAATGATTAGGAATATTCTAGGATGAATATGTATATCAATGATTAAGAATATCCTAGGATGAAGATGTATATCGAGGAGAACGAGAAGAGTGACCCCCTGATCCATGCCCCAGACAAGAAGAACAACCCCTGGCTAGAGAAGGTATGTACTCTGTACAGTCTAGGGTATGTAAACTGTACAGTCTATGGTATGTAAACTGTACAGTCTTGGGTGTGTCATACAAATATAAAGTTAAGTAATCAAATTCTACTTATTATATCCTTATGTGTATGGATAAAAAAACAATTTCAAAATCGAATAATATTTACCAATTCAAATTTGCACTTTAAAAAGTGTTTTTTTTTAAATAAAACTGTTTAGTTTTCATTCATAGACGCGAAGCTTTTTAACTTTACGGAAACGCAACATACTACTCCAGGACCATGATTAAGGAATTAGATTGAACATTTTTTTATTTTTATGACACCGCCTAAATGGTATCTCTGTACACAGGTTTAAGTAAACGGCCTCACATAATCAGATATTTCGATTATTCTTTTTGATGTGAAATTAAATGAAAATTTTGATTGTTAAGAACAATTTCGAAATTTTCAAAAACTTGTGTTAAAAATCTTTAGGCATTTTCGCGAAACCCTAACCTTAATTTTTGCGAAAACCTAAACCCTAATTTTTAACTTAAAATTTTGCCAGATCAAAAAAGTGAGATTTCAATTACTTTTCTTTTACTTACACTTCATTTTATTCGATTATTCTTTCTTCTATTTACTCCCCAATATGGTGAACTCCGTGGTGGTGTTAATAAAATTAATTATGAATTAACCCCTTACAATGGACCAAAATCTACCAGACCTACTTCAGTCAGAACTCAAAGTACCTTGTAAAAATATAATTATATTTGATCATTTTTAATTCTGAATAGCATTAAAAATACCTTGACAAATTTACGCAAATATTGAGTTTTGTTTGTTTTATTGATCCGCTGTATTTATTCCTGCCAATGTATCATTGTATTAAGAACATTTAAAGCAAAAGCATAGTATATCAAGGCCAAGAATGTATGTTATGATAACGAAGCATAGTATATCAAGGCCAAGAATGTATGTTATGATACTGTAGCATAGTATATCAAGGCCAAGAATGTATGTTATGATACTGTAGCATAGTATATCAAGGCCAAGAATGTATGTTATGATACTGTGGCATAGTATATCAAGGCCAAGAATGTATGTTATGATACTGTAGCATAGTATATCAAGGCCAAGAATGTATGTTATGATACTGTAGCATAGTATATCAAGGCCAAGAATGTATGTAATGATACTGTAGCATAGTATATCAAGGCCAAGAATGTATGTTATGATACTGTAGCATAGTATATCAAGGCCAAGAATGTATGTTATGATACTGTGGTAAGGGTCAGTTCTATAATTTTTTCTATGCTGAAACATCATAAGATTGAAATAAAAAGTATTGACACAAGCGGACATTTTCCATAGGTCGTCTTAGATCTTTGAAACTTTTTCTTCACATTCCCTTTAATTTTAAACTTTATTTCAGAGAAACTGTGTACTCATGTAAATACCGGATCGGAGAAGAAAGAAGAGGACATGTGTGACCCAGCATTTATTTATCTTTTAGTTTATGTACTTTATGTACAGCACTGTACAGTTCTCCCTCGAAATATTTGTAGATAATTAAATACCATTGAGCCATGAAATAACAAATCTGTGTACTTTTTCCAACCACTGACAACACCCTCCCCCCTTGCTTGTTTTCCTTATGTCAATTCTTCTGCAAATCCTGTTTTAACCTCTATTTGATGAGGCTTGATTACAAGACATTTTATAATAGATTTGCAATAATCTACAAAATTATCTTTTATGAAATATTTGTTTCTTAAAATCATTTAGAAAAATAAATTTGGTTTCAAAATCTTGAATTTGCTGCCTTTAGAAATAGAAATCTCAGTTTTTTTTACATAGCTGGATTTTTTTTTCATCCTAATTATCCCTAAGGTAATTATAGTTAACAAAAATAGAGAACACAACATCCCGAAAAATTATAATATTGGGGATATCATGGGTTTGTCAAAAGTTTGAAAATATCCATTAGTAGAATTCTAGAAATAATGATCACAAAATCCCCTATAGTCTTTCCAAAATGTGGTCTGTCTTTTTGTGCTCTCAATATTAACAATTGACAATTTTAGTTTTATTTAATTAAATAAAAATATGAAAGAAATTCTTAATATTGACAGCACAAAAAAAGGCAGACCATATTTTGGAAATGTCATGGTCATGGAAATTTTCTGGCTTTTGTTTCATGAAATATATCCATAAATTATCTCCTGAAAGTGTTATAAAGAGTTTTATACAGTTTTATGTATTTCAGGTGCCATATTTTTAAAATATTTTTTTTGTAAATTTATTTGCGAGTTTTGTATTGCTAAATTCTAATACGGCTGAAAAAAGGTAAATAAGAACCAAGAACTCATCACAAAATCTTTTTTCTAAACTTCATACAGTGAAACCCTCAATAACGAATACATCGAAAGAATTCCTCAAACGTTGTATTCTTCACTTTCTAATAATGGAATGATGCAGATATTTAGTTTTTTAATTAAATGATTATATGGAACTCTTTAAAACTGTTCCCGCATATTCATGGCTATTTATTTATTTTCGCAAATAATGAAATTTACATAATATAGTATAAAACTCATTGAAAAATTGTCAAGACGACATTTAATAAATTCTTCCGATGTATTCATTATTAAGGGTTTCACTGTATCTTTCCAGGTCCTATAGTATTATAGACATGTGTTATTTCAAACGTAAAGTTATTCTAAATCAAAAAGTCTGAATTTTAAATTTATAAGATTTTACACCATAAGGTTGCAAAGAGATGTAATGGTTTCCGTGAAACAGTTTAATGCACAATTGAAATTTAAATTATCCTTTCCTAATTTTTTAGAAAAAAAATAACAAATTAATTTTGAAATTAACCTTTCAAATCGTTTTCTTTTAAAACCATTAACAATATCCGGGAAAGAGAAAAAGTTCTGTAAGTTTCCTAATTTGTCTCTGTTGCATTAATAAACGAGAAATTGACAGTCTACACGAGACAAAGTTCAAAAGGGTATCGTTGTGGATGGAGCATGTATCTCTTTAATGGAAAAACAGTCCTTTAAAGGACGACATTTTACAACATATTTCTGTAAAAGTACAACCTCATAATTATTCAAATTTTATATATTCAAATTGGAACTTTATAAGAAGAAATCAATTCATAAAATCTCCTTTTTATGCATGTTGGATTACGTTCAGAGGATATATTATTTGTATGTATCAGTATGTTATGTAATTGTTGATACAGGAGAACAGAATGATGCTGTACATAACCTGGTACTGCTGGGAGAGTCTATGGTGGTGATGTTGTACAGTAGAAAGAGATGATGAATGAAGATCCATGGTGTACACTGTACAGTACATGATGTGAAGTTACGAAAGTACAGCAGGCCGGGAAAAGTGCAATTTGAAGAACAAACAAATTTTGCCCCTTTCACGACCTAAATTACTTTTTGGCAGATTTCTTGTTCCAGGTTTCAGTGGTTCTCAGGATATCATCATCGGCTGCCTGTTTCTTGATCTCTATCGCCATAATTTGTCAATTATGACTCTTTTTATAAATTTTGTGCATTTACTATAAATAACATTAACTCTACTATATACAGTGATAGGAAGTCGAATTTTAGACTCAATTTATTACATAAAATAGTCAAATGAACTATAGTCAACTGTGCAGTGTAAACAGACCCATTTCACTTAATAAACTTACTAGTTTAGCTATTTGCTTTGGAACAACATAAAATGCACTCATTATTGCTTTCATGTCGTCTTCCTATTCTACAGTTTCTGGTTATCACTGTATTAGCTGTCATTTTAAAGCCTTATCCCAGCAAATAATGAGATTTATAATTGATACCAAACCGTTCAATTTTGACATTTTCAACATAAGACTAAAAAATTCAGTTCCATGATATAAATTGTTTGATAACAACAAAATTTAAACATTATTTTTTGGCAATTAAAGTTTTTCTGAAGTGAAGGAAACCCTTTAAAGGGACTGTAAGCGTAAAATGTTCATCTAGTGTAAAGATCTCTCTGTTTAACCATGTCGAAACCTGCTTGAACTTCTCTAAAGTGCGGTCTGTAAGCTGTGTACAGGAATAACCTCAACGCAGCTGATTTGTTTTAACTTAAAGACGGTTTCAATCAATCAAATAAAAAGTTTGAATTTTCTGCCATTTTAGTGGCAAGCAATGAAAAGTGTGTCAGTAGATTAATGTCCGACATCCAAAGGTTTAAAGGGTGTCGTTATGAATCAAGGATGCTCCCCTTTAAATAGAGGTTCACTTGAAATCACGCGCACAGTCCCTTTAAGAATTGCTCACAAGCATTTAAAATTCAAAACTCAAATCAAATTTGCAATGTTGTTTTTTCTGCGTTTTCTCTTACTTCAACTTTTTTATGGATTTGGATTATCATGATTTTAGATGAAACCTTAAACCAGACTTGAAGATTTTAAGATTTAAAGTTTTTTTTTGTTTTAAATGGAAAATAAGCGTAATTTAAAGTAACCCTCCGTGGGAAGATGTCAATGTTTATTGAAACTGCTTATTTGCATTTATGGTTTCTCAGCAAATATAACTTGAGCATTTCTTGTTCGTTAGAAACCAAGGAGCAATTATCAGAATCAAACATTTTTCAAGTCAGAAAAACGACGTTTTCTTCCACATTTCAGATTAAGTTAAGATTAAGGGTACCGATCTAAATCTTTGGAAAGTCATTTGAAATGTCTGTTACAGTCCCTTTAAATGTGTTCTTTTCGGCTCCAGTTTACATTTTCTTTTTTAAGGAAAAAATTCCTTTCACGGTTTACATATTCTGATAAATTATTTAGATACAGGGTTATCCACAAAGAATGAGACTTCAGAGACAATTCTACGGAATTTGTTTAGTCCGTTTTCCTGCATTCAGGGTTCCTTGTGGACTAAAAATGGCTTATTTTTGTGCTTAATCATTAAGTCCACCAACCAAATCACTTAAATAAATGCAGAAACTAAAAATTAAGCTTCAATTCGTCATATTTTTATAGTTTTGGGTCGTCTTTACAATCTCATCCTGTGTGAGTAATCCTGTACACATAAAATTTTACAGGGGGGGGGGTGATTTCCGTATGTTAGAGGTTGCAAGATTTCACATCTTATATAAAGAGTCTACAAAAAAAATCGTTAGTTCTCCTAACTTGGCAAATACCAATTAATAAAAAAATAACAATCTATAAAAAATAATAAATTCCTACTTTTGTTTAATTATGAATTGTTCAGTATGCATAGTTTAGATGTTATACGCTAAAACTGAATAATTTATTTGGAGATAAATTTATAACATTTATTTATTAGTGTTGGCAAATATTTAAATGGACAGCATAAATTCAAAACCGGTTTGGATAAACCCCGACTTTTAACCATCTAAGAGATCGTGTCAAACTAAATGAAGTTTAGATTTCGACAATTTTGGTTTTATTTTTTATTTGGTTTTATTTTTAAAATTGAAATCTGAACAATTTCTTAATTTCTCCGGTAATAGAGACAGTAAAAACCAGGCAGACCACATTTCAAAAATACCAGGACTGGTAGAATAATGTGGTTAGTGTACATCAAGAATCATACATGTTGAAGTAGGTTGACGACTGAATGTAATCAATAATACCAAAGATCAAAGACGACTTTCAAGTCGTCTGGCTAATGTCATGTTTCGTGGGACACCCTGTATTATACATGTGTTTACATACTGGGTTACCCAAAAAATATAGGATTGTAAAGACGACCCAAAACTAAAAAATATGACAATTTGAAGCTTTTGGTTTTTGGTTTTGGTTTCTTCTTTTAATTAAGTAATTGCAAATGGTTTACTCAATGAGTAAGCAATGAAATAAACCAGTTTTGGTCTAAAACCCTCAATGCCAGAAAATGGACAAAACAAATTCCGTAAAATCGTCTCTGAAGTCTTAAATTGTAGGTAAAGGAATTTGAGAAGTGGATATTCATCTTTACGCATCCTTCCTTAACTCATCATATACTTGACCTCATTTCACCCCAACACACGTTAGATAGATAAATAACACTCGTGTGCTCAATAATACGCTGGTTTCTCATCTTAAATCGGTTACTTCCAAATCACGTGTTGTTTCAGCAGCTTTATAACAAAGAAAGGAGACTAGAATAATGTAAACAATGTCTTTTTCTTTCGTTTATCTAGCTTATAACGTAGTTCACATCTGCCTTACAAGCTCACAGGCAGAAACTGGGAGTTCAGTTCACTGGCAGCCGTGCCGGGTATTCGAAACATTCAAGTTGGGCAGTTAGGCATACGAGGGAACCTTGGGCCCTAGACCTACCAAACCAATTAACAAATAAATATGATTTCATTAATTATTCAATAGTAAGTCTTTAGGGAAATTTTAAACTTTAATTGATTTTTATATAAATATTTTGGTTGAGTAGTTCCAGGGTCCATTTTCTGCCTGTATTCAACAGGAACCGCTATGAAGACTCACACTGGGTTCTTTCTCCTATACCACTCCCATTCCTACCATACTATCCCACCAACCCCGTATACACCCCCCCCCCCCTCTTCCACAAGTCTTCATATCATATCTTTACAACACCTCGGCATCATATCTTCAGAAAACATGATATTTAATGCAAACCAAAATCAGATCCTTTTAAAGCTACAAATTATAAGAACGTATAAACATCGTCTTTGATTTCCGACAATTATAAATCGGGTTAAAACGTCATTTGCTTGTGTTTGAAGATAATTTCGATACGTTTCATATTATTTTGAAAATTAAAATCTATTAAAAAATCTATAT